CATCTCTCTTTTTTACTGTACCACTGAATATAAAACTAAGCCTAAACATTTTTAAGATGAAAATTCCAGCTTTCATCAACAATGTTCCCCATGAAAGTCCAGACAACAAATAAATGCCGCATGGTAGAAGAAATAGAACAAAAGTGAGAGGGCATTCGATAGAACTGGTCAATAAAACAAAAGTTCCAGCTCGATCCAGTCAAACAAACAAAATTAGTATTCAACCGTGCAGTGTTGAGACTATGGTAAGAACCTAAAGGAAACAAAAACAAAGGCAACCAATCTGAGTTCACCCATAAACAATTGTTCGCTCGGTTCTCATAGGTAGTGTATTGAACTCAACACATATAATATTGTCAAAATAGAGCAAAGGAGAGCAACACATATAATATTGTCAGAATAGAGCAAAGGAGAGCAACACATATAATATTGTCGGAAAAGAGCAAAGGAGAGCAGGAAAGCAAGAAGATATTACATCTGCGTTATGCTTCAAAAGGAGTGTCACTATTCTTTCATTTCCCTAGATAGCAGCACAGAATAGCGGTGATTCGCCATCTTGACATAAGGGGTCAACATTAGCTCCTTTTGACAACAAGTACTCTGCAATTTCATAGTAGCCTGGAAAAAACATATGGAAAAAATCACATCAAATCGACTTTTAGGACCTATTAATTACATGTGTTTCATAACGAAAGGATAGTCAACACCAAGAGCTCAATATTTTAAGAATGGATCGTTTTAGCATTTCCATAGGCCTATAAGCTAAATTTAAAATGATATGAAGCACAGAGGCGATTTTGCATTGCAGTATAAGCCCTGGGATGGTTAATACACATCAGGTGTCCATTTGACGTTCTACACAGGCTCCTTTTTGCAACATTCAGCCTAAATAATACAGGTAGGTGACTAATCAGAAGGTGGACGAATAATCAGTTTTTACTAAGTAACAAGCACAGGGTTATTTCGCTGGCCATATTCCAACCAACCTCACAAGCACTGGGCTTCAATGCAGGATCCAGACTTTGTTTCTCTACCAAAGCTAGCATAGTGTCTAGGTTCAGGTAATGATAGTTGATCCAATCAAAATGGGATTACGCCTTTTTTTAGACATGACAAAGTGTGAGTATTGTTCAATTCTGCTTATGTATCTGATTCAAACGAAAAACAAAATGTTTGGTTTAAGCACATGGGCATCTGTAGAGAAAATAACATAGATAATCCAGGTTAAAACTAAAAAAAAACAAAGAACACCTAAAAATTACATAACAGACATATGCAAGGGCAGAAAAAACCTTGCGTTGCGGCAATGTGGAGTGGAGTAATTCCAGAGTTGTCTGTTTTGTTTGGATCAGCATGATTGTTGACAAGATATTTGGCAATGGCTTCATTTCCCTCATGATTTAATGCAAACATTAGGGGTGACGTACCTAGCAAAAGCATAAAACAGTATATATTGATTAAGAATGATCGATACTTCTCACTCTGACCAAATAAATCGAGACTAATTGGCACTAAAAACCTCAGCCCCACCCCCTTCTAAACAAACCTCAGCCCCACCCACCTTCGCCCCTAATTGGCCCGAGCGGCCACGACCGCTGCCGCGCCTCCTTTCCTCGCCTTCCCCGCGCATGCCATCTGGGCGGGCAGGACCGCTGCCACGCCGCCTTCCCCGCGCATCGCGTCTGGCTGCCGACCACTCGGTAGTCGCCCACCACGCGCCGCCGCAATACCTTTCTCTCCCCTTTGTCTCGTTTTTTTAGCAACACCACCCTCACAATTTAGCCCAAGCCCAAAACTAAATAGATGGCCTCGGACCTCAAATCCAAGACTCTCGAAACGTCCGTTCCCCAACAGAGAGAGGCGACGCGCCGGTGATTTCTCGACTCCCCGCCGGATTCGCTGCTTCTCCTCGCCGTCGGTGGCCTTTTTGGCGCCGATGTGCTTGAGAACGGTGGATCCGGTGGGTAATGTACATATACTTTTCTGATAGAGTAGTTTTACCTAGAATAAGGTTGGATTTTTTACCGATGTTGTCGGTAAGCTTTTGTCCCTTCCAGAGTTTCTCTACTATTGCCTGTGTTCATGGTGAGCAAGTCCTGGTGCTGTCTGAGGTGCATGTGGTGATTGATGGTGATATCTTTTGCGGGGATCTCAACATCGATGGGTATGTCATCGATTTTATCTTCTGCGTTGGTTTTTGGTTTCCTATGATTTTCTTGGTGCCGTTGGTGCCCATGGTGCCAACGATAGTGCTGGACCTGTAATCCAGAATACGGTAATGGATATAAGGAGAAATTTTGGATGGTATGTCTACCAACTCGTAGAGAAATCGGGTTGGGTTTGGATCCCACCTTCTCTGGTGGTTTTACTTCCCTTCGGGTTATATCTTTCTTCGGTGTGTCAGGGCTGCTGGTGGCCTTTGAGGTGCCAGATTCCTTGTTTTACCGGTGATGTGATGGCCGGCGGCCCTATTCTTCAGCCAGGATGTTCAACGAGCTTACAACATGTCGATGCACTCGATATGCGACTCATGGTGGCATCAAAAAATTGTGAAGAGCTTTCGTCCGGAAGGGGGTCGGCTTCAAGCTGTAGATTGCTCCGATCACCGGTGACGAGGTCAACCGGGAGGACCATGATCTTGCAAGGACTGGGTTGTAGTTTCATTTTCCACGAGAGCAGTGTAAGATTTGGTGTAAACATTAAGAAGTTTATGTAATATATTTTTCCAGTTTCTAAAAAAAAATCGGCTCCAACATACACACACAAATCGCGTGGGAAAAAACAATCGTAAGCGAAATCAAATCAAAATACAATAGGCGCACAAATGCGCAATGCGATAGCCAATTAGACTGTCTCCGACAAGTAAACCATATGGGTACCCAAATCTAAAATATGTAGCAAGAGACCTAAAATCAGTCTTCAACAGAGTACCTATACGGAAGATCTATTTTGGGTTGCCTGAGAGGCACAACCCAAATATTAGCATCCTCTCTTCTAAAAACCAATTTACAAAAATGATTATCTTTTGGGTCTTGTTGTTGGAGAAGATGCTGAATAGATATTAAACATTTTGCCTGTAGCGTCTCGTATTTGGGGTGCTGTTGTCAGAGATAGCCTTACCATCAATCGTCGTAGCATCGACGTCACATTTGCATTGTGTGATGATGAGCTTGCACATAGCCTTGTAGCCGCTCTGGGCGGCGTGGTGAAGCGGTCCGGCAAGCTTTTGGGCCTCGGGGTTCTTCGATGCGTCGAGTTCTGCCGGCTCTCCCCGTCCACATCGATATCATCCAGCGTTTTTGCTAACTCTGCACCAAATTCCATCCCCAGTTTATCGTAATTCACATCGCTTGTAGAACCGAATTAAGATCATAACCATCTCTAGCGATTGGAGTAGGGGGGGAGGAGAGGCTACTTACCTCGCCCGTACGATGTCCTTGCGAACACTGCGACAGAGAGATCGACGGGGTTGCGCTGATCCCTGGTGAAGCTCTCGCTGCTCTGTTGTAGAAGCAAGCTGATTCTCGACAACTCCTCCTCGGACCGTTGCGACTCCGATGAGGAGCCCGCCTCATGACCGCGATCCCGGTCAGAGCTGAGGACAGGGGCGAGACGGAGGAGGCGAGTCGCGATCGCGGTGTGAGGTCGCGGTCGCGGCTTCGCTGATCGTCCGCCTCCATAGCGGAGCGGGGCGAGATCGAGCGCTCTCTGTTCTAGACGCGACGGAGAGAAGTACGAGGCGAGAGCGTGCGCTCGGTTCGAGGCGAGACGGAGAGGAGGAGGACGAGAGGAGAGCGGTTCGAGACGAGACGCAGGGGAGAAGGTGAGAGCCGGAGAATGAAACGAGCGGGAAGGCTCAATTGGGGCGCTCCATACTTATTGTGCGGAGTAGAGAACAGCCGGCGAAATTTGAATCGAACCAACATGCGTCGTGTGTAGAAGATTCCTATACATGCGTAGTGTCCATCGTGGTCGCCCCTGGGAAGGAGGGCAAGGGCGGCGTGCGCGTCGGCGGCCATCGTGCCAAAGTCGTCGTTCTCGGAGGAAAGCAGCGCCATGCCGCCGTCCGCGCCGCCTGCATCATGCACCTCCCTTGCGCCCACGACCGCGCGGCCTCGAGGCTGTCTCTGGCTGCGGTGGCGTTGGCCGCCGCGGGCGCGTCGTGGCACCGCGACGACGGGTCCGGGCACAGCACGACGAGCTCCGGTGTCACGTAGTAGCAGCCGCCCATACCGCCGCACACGTCGTCTAGCGCCGTGCTCGCCCCGACGGAGCCGGAGCCGGAGCCGCCGGTGATGACAGGCGCTAAGACGAGGAGTACAGCAGATAGCATGGGAGTGGAGGCAGCCATGGTGGCAGTGGCACCCCTCTTACTGTGTCTACGAATCTTTGTGTGTGATGGATGGATGCTATATCCACCAGCCGGCCAAGAAAATCTGGTTTCATTTGGTGTTGATCTAGAATCGCAAGATCGCACTCATAAGACTACGAAAATGGAATTCTGTAGTGATCTATTAAAGCTTGCCGGTTGTGAAATAAAATGGAGATGTGGTCGGAAGATTCAGTTTCTGGATCGGTTCAAGATTTGCTGAGCTAGCTCAAGATACTTCAGATCCACATTATTTCCATGGAAGATGAAATCTAACATTTGGGGTGCCTCACACTCCAGTCGTCCAAACTCCAAAGGTGGTCTGCCAACCTCTGCGTTGCCTGATCAAGTTGATTGGGCTCTGGAAAAACATAGAATGTGTTCAACCAAATCAGTGTACCGAGCAATGGCATTTTCGTGTGCGAATCTCAGCTGCCTCGTATGTAATTTTTTTTAAAAAAATCTCGTTGCTGGTCCTTGTGAACAGTCCTCAGTGTACCGAGCAATGGCATTTTCGTGTGCAAATCTCAGCGAGCAACTGAAGAAGAGGAACAGAGCAGATAGGCTTGTAGAAAAGTTTTGTTTCCCTTTTTTCTTTTTTCTTTTTTAAACTCAGAGGTTATATATAGGCTTATGGACATTCGGCACCAAAATGGCGATCGTTAAGTTTTTGGGCAAGCCAGCTGACATGTGGAAAATCTTTTGTTTTTGAGAAGAATTGGGAAGAGCTGCTGAACGGCAAGCAGCAACTGAGTTCACAGCTATATATGCCAACATCACTTACACAGTACACAGCGCCATGCCGATGAGAGCCGCCGAGCCCAAACAACGGCATTGTAGAGCTACGATGCAGCAAAACACACACGCGAAATCAGTGGTCTATTGCATAGATTCGACAATAGAAGCAGCAGCTTCCGCATCACCGTCACCGCAACGCGCATGCCACGCCCACGCAGGGACGGCGGCACGAGTGGCAGGGAGGCCGCGCCCGGCACCGACCCCAGCCGCGACGCGCAGAAGGCCACGTCCACGAAGTCGTGGATCGCGTCGCGCGAGTCAGCCACGGTGTCCGCCGCCGCCGCGCCGCCGTAGCGTAGAAGCAGGAGAAGCAGAGCGCGGCGGCGCCCACGGCGAGGAACGTGGTGGTCCTGCTCATGGCTTGCTTGTTGTTAGGTTCAGGACATCAGATCGATGAGAGGCAAACTGAACTTTACACAGGGGAAACACACGAGTTCTGCAGTTAATCGACGGACATGGCAAGACGATACGATCAGCGCATTGATTATTACATTACAGACTTACAGTACAACGAGCTTCTCCATTCTCGCGTAGCCGAGCGGTGGTGGGCGGATCATCAGCCGGTGGACATGCATGGAGGCGACGACGGCGTGCGCGACGAAGGCCACGTCGGCGAAGCCGCCGTTCTCGCGGAGCAGCGCGGCGGCCGCGTCGCCCGCGATGCCCTCAAGCAGCCCGCGGCGACGTACTGCGCCGCCTGCAGCACCTGCGGCGCGCCGCGGTACCGCCCCGCGGCCACGGCCAGCGCCGCCCACCGCAGCGCCGGCATCGCGCCCGCGTACAGCTGCAGGCACGACCACAAGGCCGCGGTGGCGCCGCCGCCGCAGGCGAAGGACGAAGACGGCCTCGATGCTGTCCTTGGCCGCCGCGGCATTGTCGGCCGCCAGCCTGGCCGCGAGCGCCGCCACGGCGGGCGCGTCCCGCGCGGCGCGGCACGGCGCAGAGCGCGGACGCGCAGAGGGACGGCATCACGTAGTAGCTGCCCAGCCTCCCGCACACCTGATCCTGCGCCGGGGCAGGGGCCGGCGCCGGCGCCGACGTCGACAACGTCGAAGCCTCGCCTGTGCCGGCGCCGGCCGAGGCGAGGAAGAGTAGGAGGAGGAGGATCGGAGAGCAGGAGGACGACCCGGCCGCCATTGCCGCTGTGCTCGTCTCCGGTTTGGTGTTGTACTAACAGTAACAGCTAGCTAGCGCGGGCACAGGCGCACAGGCATAGTTTCACAGTCACAGGGTCCAGATGTTCTTGGAGAGTGATGGTTTTTGGGCTCTGGCCGATCAGGTCATGATGATCCGCCACACTCGCACGTTCTCTGTCCGTTCCGTCGTGCTTCTTCTCAACGGCCGGCTGTTGTGGTCGGGGCAACTCCCATCAGAAAGGCACCTACTTCTACTCACGTTTCTCTCAACGGTCGCTCAACTCCACGATGCAAATAATAATCTGCAGTGCTCCAACCAAGCAAGTCAAGTAACTAGTCTACTCTCACCGTATGTGTTAGGCTGTCTGATCGTGTAGTGCTAATTAGTAGCTGCATACAACCCTAAACCCCTTTTTTTTTTCCCTAGCTGCAGATAAAATCTAGATACCTAAATCCTCAGTAAAGTTTTCTGTTTTATCAGAACGCCTAGCGTCCGGACGTCCGGACGCGGCTTCGACACCTGCACCGCTACGGCGTCTGTATCCCGCCCCACGCCCCGCATCCCGCGTCCCGCCCCAGCACGCATGTCTGCGTCCGTCGTAGGTACCCGCGCCCCGCACGAGGAAACCCACGTGGGTTGACGACGGCTGTTCCCCAACAGCAGCGACAGCCACCGGCCACGCCGTGCAACACCCCGATTTACTTTTGCAACATTCAGAGGAAGCCTTTGCAACATACGTCTAAAACAGATGAAACATTTGGAACATACAGTTGAAACACCATTGCAACATGTGCAACATCCCAATCTACTTTTGAAACATCCAGATGCAACACTTGCAACATACAAAAGAAGACAAATGAAACACTTGAGACATGCGTCTGAAACACTTACAATATATGTGTAAAAAAACAGATGAAACATTGGGGATAGATGCTTGCAACATACGTGTACAATTATTGCAACATCCACATGAAACCAATGAAACATACATCTGAAACAACTAAAACACTTGAAACATGGGCTTGCAACATGTTTGAAAAAGCATCCAGAAACACTTGAAGCATAGCATCGTCGTGCTGCCATGCCCTACCTGGTGGGCAACAGCGGTGGCACAGGCTCGCCAGATGGTGTGCGCCCGCACGCCCGCCATGCCCGTCGTCGGCTGAGGGAGAGGAGACGCTGTCGGATCTGGGGTTGGGCACCACCGGATATGGAATTGAATTTATAATTCCATGCCAGCACTTCACACAAGTGTAAATTGCTAATTTGGTTTGGATTTGTGTTGCATGTCCCTTTTAACCACTTGAGAAAGACATGGACAAGTTTCACAAACCTGACATGGGCAAGTGTGTGCGTTGTCTTTGTCTGTTTGCATCTTCTCGTCCAGGCTTCTTTTTCTTCTCGATGTCTTGAAATTATTGCGTGTCTTCTAAGATATTCACAATAGCTCCTTGTCCTTGCTTGAGGTGTTGAACACTTGATCTTCACATTGCCTTTGTCTAAGTCCATCCTTGCATCCTTATAACTAAATACCTTGTTACTAGCAAACAATGTTAGTCCTATTAATTATGTTGGTACTCAATCACCAAAATTGTAGATGGCCCTAGCTAGGTGCCATTTTCCTTACAATGTGCAAGTGTGCTTATGGGTTGGGGGCCGCTGCCTATTGGAGATTGGCGATTTGCTTGGACGCATTTGGCAAAGCTCCAATCAACAAAGTTGTATATGAGTGCATATGTTGCATTGCTTGAGGCAAACCATGCATGATGATGATAAAGGAATTGCTGACATGCAACAAAATTGGAGGTTGTCAACTAGGACGAGGAGGCAAACCATGCAAGAGGAGTTGAGGACTGAGGTGTGGATGCATCAGTAGAATAGGAGTTAAGACGAACATCCTACAACTCATGTTGGTGGCTTCTACTCAATAGCTAGGCTGCCATTTAAGAAGTATGCACATGAAAAAAAAATCAAAACTGTAGTCGTGCATTTGCTATGCGGGAGGCGGATGATTCAATTAGTCCTCAGTGGGTTTCTTTGACATTTAGATGTGGTTGTTTATTATTGTGCTTGGCGTTTCTAGATTTGACTATCATAGACAACCAGGAGGAGTCGAAGGTCACCATGGCATGTGTGCGCTATGAAAGCATCTGGCCGCTAATTTAGTTTTTGTGATTAATGATGACATAGAATCATTGTGACTAACGTGTGTTTTACAGCGGCATTACTTTGTGAGGTCACAATAATGCACTCTGATTGGGTTTTTATTGTTTTCATGCCCCCGATGATGGATTTCGATCCATTTTCAAAGGATATGCATGAAGGCTAAGGATGAGCTAATCCAAGGTGTCATTTGATGAAGAGAGACACTTAGGATAGGTTTTTATTTTTCTTCTTTGGTCATACTATAAAGAGGGGTATGAATAGTAGCTTGTACTAAGTAAGTCTAGTGAGTGGGTGTGATGCACACTTGTGAAACTAGCACTAGGTAGCTCAAATGAAGCTCAAGGATAGATGAAACCCAAAGCGAAACTTAGAGGGGTTGATTGGAAGAGTTTGCACTACGTTTATAGCCATCAGAGAAACCACTGGAGTTATGGAACAATGCTTGGCTAGGGTTTGCTTGAACTGTGCAAGGTGTACTTTCGATGTGTGCACTGAAGTTCATAGCAGAGTTACGTAATAGAGACGAATACAATTGGCTATCAAGGTGAAGAATTCGCCAGAATTCTCCAGCGTGAGCACCGAAGTATAAACCAGATGTCCATTAGTCATTACAGAGACGAGTGCAAGTGGCCGAGAAGAAATAGGGTCACCGAAATCCTCCGTTGTATCATCGAATAAAATCCATATACAACGACTAGTTGAGGCTCGAGTCTATTCAAGGTGAACGGAATTTACGGTGCGGCACTGTGAAGAAAGCACCCTTGGAGGAATCGGGCGAGTGGATTTCTAATGGTTAGTTTTGGGTGCTTGGCCTATATATACCATATCCTCTCGTTTTGAGGTCTTTTGAAAGCCAGGGGCAATTAGCTACGCATAATTGGGTCCAAGAGAGTGATTTGGCCTATTGGAGTGATTAGCACATCTTGAGTGGAGGTTAAGGACTCCATTAGTGCTTAGATAATAGTAAGTGTGCATCTACTCTTATCATTAGGCTTGGTTGTGTCAAGCGAGAGCATGTGTTTGTTACTCTTGATGATCAGCGTCACCTAGATGACATGGTGGTGGTGTTACTCTTGATGAACTTTCACATTACATTTTGCAAGATGAAATGAAAATTCGCGCAATACAAATAGGGGTTGTAAAGACCCAACCCTAGGGGGACGAACGGTGCGGCGGATCCAGGCCCTAAACGCTAGGGGCCTGCCGCTGGATGTACTCTCTATAACGTAGCAATTGTATAGTTGTGTGTATGCATGGCTTGATCTAACAAATATTAGGAGAGGAAAGGGATCGTTGTTGACTCACTAATTTCTTGCTGGAGGCTGGACTGTGCTGCTAGCCTGTGCGTGAGCTCTCTATCTTCCGGATCTCCATTTTTTCTCATTAGAAGGCCTCACGATGCTACGTTCCTAAGGACAATCTCATTAGGATTTCATATACATTTAATAAGTTAACACAACGTAAGTATTTTAATAATATGACAACATTTTTAAAAAGAGAGAAGATACGACTCTTTCGGTTTGATATCTAACTTTAGATAAGTCATAGATATAAGTGTCCATGAAAAAAAATACAAATCAGAAGTGATGGTTTTATTTATGTTTTATTGCATTCTACGTTTCTTCAAAACAATGCTATAAATTTTTTTCATTGAAAATATGGCCTAATCCTGAACCTGACTTTGATTACCGGCCGCCGCCCGGACTGATATGCAGACGGCACCGGCCCACTCGATCGTGCAACGTTCTCCTGCCCTCCATGCAGCCACGTTGATGACCGACTGCCAAGCTGAGACCCGAGAGACAAGACCTCACCTCACCGCCTATCCAACGGCTGGTCGCCTCCGTTGGCCATTGCGATGACGTGATTCCAGACGATGGGTAAGATTTTTGCTTTGTGCTTGTTGTTAATTGCTAATTGGGTTCTTAAATGTCGGTACCTTTATGGTGTTACTTAGTATGGAATCCTATATTGATCTTCTGGTACCTCTGCTCTCATTTTCAATCTATTTAATTTGTTCTTAAGAGTATCTATTATTGTTAATGCTAATCAGACCATTTTCTCCTATATATGTTGGTCCTCATATTCACAGCGTTAGCCGAAAGAAGCTTTTCAAATTTCATTGTTAAATATCTGATGTCTACGATGACCTAAGAAAGGCTAAACGAATGACGGCTTCACATCAACAAATGTTAGAATAAACTTTACAACAATATGTAGATATTGACTGCTAACATCGCTTTTGGATGGATTTAAGTGTTTACGTGTGACACTACAAATATATAAAGGAGTATCTATAATAACAATACTTTCTTTTTTTTTATAAAGACACTCCTCACAACTGATATATCTTAAGAAACAAATGCTAATATAAAAGATTGGACAACGATACACAAAACCACCTCTAGAATAAGAGTGCTTCAAAGACCAAATCGAACGTCTTCTTCCTTCTATCGTCTAGTACTTACCGGAGTTTGAATATCGCACTGAAAAGACAGCAAAGAAAAGAGACACCTGCAAACACTCTCACCAAACACAAGGCTTTGAAGATTGCGAAAGCCACTCACCACTGACAGCGAGATCTAGCCTCACTGAAAAAACATCAGCTAAAAGATTATTCCTCTAAAGAACACAGTTATTCCACTACTCCTTCCGTTCCAAATAAATTATAAGTTGTTTTTGACTTTTCTAGATTTATAAGTTTTACTACGTATATTTAGACAAGTAGACATAATGTATATCTCATTGCATAACAAAAGCTATGCATCTTAATAAAAGCTAAATGACTTATAATTTGAAATGAAGGGATTATATTAAGAGGGGCCTGTCTATAGTTTCGCTTTAGACATTCAAATTCGGAACTTGAAGATAAATAATATATGCTATAGAAGATTGAAGATCTGGTCGGAAAAATCAGGAAAAGCATATCTGGTTGTGGGCCTTTATCATTATCTTTTTCTCCCTTCATTTTAGCGGTTTGTGGCATGTGGGCAAGTAGGGGCGGCCAATGGCACATGGAAACAAATTCATATGAAACTATCATCAAAATCATTAAGGAGTGCAATTTGGACGGTATTGATTACCCTCCCAAATAATAGATCAATCGTTTAAGTTTGTAAACCGAGCGTAATTGAGTTGCTTACCTAGTTTTTTTGGTGGAACAAGTTTAGTTGAATTCAAATTCCCGGTTTAGCACTGATGTTCGTATTTTCCTATATTTATTCTAAAATTTAGCTACACCATACTTTCAGTTGTAGACGATGTATGTGCCCATTGTAGGAAGGCACCGACGATACGATTTTCTGTAAAAGAAAATTCTATATTTTCTGATAATATTGTTAGATGAACGAATTAACATCTATATGTTCAAAATATATACTATCAAGTTATTTCATGGAAAATTTAATGAAAACTCATTTGATGCTATAGCCTACGTATTGGTGATTTTTCTATGATCATGATCAAGGCTATTTTTTATTTAGGACAAATCCAAAACAAAACCATAAATTGGAATGGTGAAAGTATATATATTATAAATATATATAAATTTAAGGCGTAATATATGGGCCTCATGGTGTATATAGTGAGTTAAAATGGGAACTTCGGGGAGCTATGTAATCGAGAAGCCCATCTAAAAAAACAAGTGAAGCCCACGGTAGGCCCAAAAATTGCGTCGCCTCACCTGCCCATCCAGCCTGGCGTGCTGATCCACTCCACTCGATATACAAGTACGGAGGCAGCAGAAGCACACTCCGACTCCGGCACTCCCCGGTTTCCCGCTCATTCCCATTCTTCACCCCTCTCGCATCGCCTCCAACAACTCTCCAAACCTTGCCTTCTCGATTTCCAGAGCCCCGCGAGGTCGAGCCGTCCATGGCCCCCACCCGCTCCGCCTCCGACCCGCGCTCCGTGTGGTCCTCCTCCTTGCGTCCGCCACTCGACCTCCAGCCCGCGGTCCTGCCAGAGGACGACGACGGCGACGACGATCGGGCGGTCGCGGAGCTCCTCAACGCGGCACTGGAGGGCGACCTCTCCCGCGTTAAGAGTAAGTCGCTCGATCGGTTCCCCGCTCGTCGATTCGCTAGGGTTTTGGTCTCGATCTGACGCGGGTTTTGGTCCGTCTGTGTTTTCGATGGGGTTTTATTTGTGGTGACGTGCAGAGCTGGTGAAGGAGCTGAGCGAGGCGGGGAAGGGCGTGGACGAGGTGGTGGCAGCCGCAGCCGTCGGCGTGACGGGGACCAAGCGCCGCGGGCCTCTCCACATGGCCGCCGCGAACGGGAACGCGGAGATGTGCCGGTTCCTGACCAAGACTTGCGACGTCGATGTCGATGCGACCGATTCTGATGGTAATTGTTACTGTTACTGTTTCGTTCTGCCTTTCGTTAGATTTGGTGCGATGTGCTGTTGAATCGTGCTGTTTCCGCGAGGTTTTGGGTTGGGTGCTGCTCAGGGTCGAGAGGGAGTCTGGGAGATGCGTTGCCGTGCCTGTGTGTTAGTGAGGAATTAAGAGGAACTTTAAGCTGTAGAGATCTTGTGCTCTGTAATTCATGGTCCATCAATTAGTGGGCTTAGTAATTGAGGCTGAGACCCCAAATATATATGGGCCAGTTATTCACTAATTGGGCTTTGGCCTGGGTTAGAACCTAGAAGTATTTTCATTCCTGTTATCTCTAAATAATGTAGCAATTGTGTTTTAAGACCTGCTTGTTCCTTATCTGGATCACACTGAAATCAAAAGGGTAGTTGGAATAAGTAATGCTACGATAGGCAGATTTAACTTATTTTGATGATTAATTATGCTGGGTACTACCTAGCCGAATGCTTTCCTTGTATCCTTGCCAACAAAGTTTGCCCCAGGCCTTCCTAATTTCTCTCTGCATGTGGAATTATTTCTCTGGTAGGCCTGTGCTATACTTCGCAGTAGAGGATGTGTTTTTCTTTCTGTGACATTAGTAAGTTGTGAATGCTCCTCCAGTGTATTGTGCAGGGATTTTATTTGCCTGTGAAATATCGATGGAAGCTAGCTGGTTGTGGTCACGTACTGACACAAATTTGTGTAACATAGCAAAATTTCAGTAATCAAATGACAGATGCTCCTGCCTTGTTTTTTGAGTGGGATTGGTTATATTTCTATATACCTGTACGATTCTGCAAAATGTGATGCTGAAGTAGAACACAACCTTTTTTTCTTTGAAAAAATAGTGAAATTTCATTCTGACAATCAGTTTAAATATTGGTGGCGTTCATAGATGGCTTATGTTGGGTCCGTGATTCTGTGCTCTGTTTTGTTCTCGGCTGTATGACCTTCTCAAATCTTTCATATATGTATTATGTTGTATTTCGGACCTGTCCAAATAGTTTCTTTCTTGTTTTTGTTAAAATTATTGTAGAGTTATGGACATTTTAAGTATAGTTTTCTGGAGTTGCACAAGATAAATGATTTAATTCTGTTGCAATTTCCTCCCTATTTTTTGTAATCCTTTGTCATGACTAATTTGTAATTTTGTTTGAACAATGTTTGGTTATGCATTTCTCTGGCTGATAAGATTATTTGTTGTGTACTACTTTATTTAGTCAGAAGTGGAATCATCAGAGAGGTTATGAAGTGTTCACTCTTTCTTATGTCTTTTAGGTGCTGACTCCTCTAATTTTTGCAACACAAGGTCTGGGATCCACTACAATTGTAAGGCTTCTACTCAACAATGGAGCCAATCTAAACAAAGCAGATAACAGTGGGGTTGCTCCGCTCCATATCGCTGCAGAAAGAGGTTCTTTGCCCATGCATTTGTGTTGTGCATTTTTTGTTTAGATGTTATTTCAGCTCTCTTTTTGATCTATCTATCCATATCTCTGTGTTGTCATATATACCTTTTCTTTGTTCCAAACAGTTTGTGGTATTTGGTCAGAATATGTTTTTCCCCGCAACATTGTAATTTTTTTTGTGGCTATATGGGTTGCGGTTGCAAAAACACTTTAACTGGGACTAGTATCGAGCACTGCATGATAGGAACCGAGGTTCCTCCTCTGACCGAGCGTAGGTTGTAGCGGTGGGTGATCGGGGGCCGAGGCTTAAACCGCGATGGACCACGGCGGGGCGCCGTGATCTCGCGAAGGGTTTCTCCCGGCTCCCTGAGAAAGCCGGAAACAATAGAAGGCGGGGCCGAGGCTTAAACCGCGATGGACCACGGCGGGGCGCCGTGATCGCGGTACTGTTCACGAAAGAGAGAAGGCGGCTAGGGTTTCTCCCGGCTCCCTGAGAAAGCCGGAAACAATAATTGTTTCTCCTTCCTTTCCTCAATAGAGTTTACAGGTATTTATATGTCTCTGAATAATAATAATAGAAAATAACTCTAATATTATGTAAAATATGATAAATATGGGCCTTGAGCCCCCTAACCCGCCAGCATCCTCTAGCCACTGCTGGGCCTTCGCCTGGAGTACTGGATGCCGGTCATAACATCTCTCCCCGCCTTCTCAAACAGCTCGTCCTCGAGCTGGAAGTCGGGGTAAAAGGAGCGGAACTCGTCGACGGACTCCCATGTCGCATCCTCTTCTGGAAAACCATGCCACTGGATCAGCACCTGCCAGGTGTCACGGCGTCGCTGGACACGTAGCGCCTTGGCCGGGGCAGGAGTGTAACGGCCGTCAAAGGTCGGCGCCAGGCTGCACGGTGTTGCTGGAGCGTCACCGCGGTGGCGCTTGAGCAATCCCACGTGGAAGACATCATGAAGACGGGCACCCTCGGGCAGCTGTAGACGATACGCTACCGCTCCAAGACGCTCCAAGACGCGGAACGGCCCGGCATAGCGAGGACCGAGTTTGCCCTTGGCCCCTGGAGAGAGTGCATGGGCTGTGCGGTTGAGCAAAGCGGCAGCCACACACCCGCCGCCCACGGAACTCGGCGTCGCGGTGGCGGCATCATAATATTTTTGGACAGCTGCTGAGCTTGCAAAAGACGTTACGCACCTCGGCGAGGATCTCATCACGGATCAAGAAGCGCGCATCTGCAGCCTCGGTCCAAGCCGTACCGGCGAATAGGGCAGCAAAAGAAGCGGAGGAGGGCGACGTGACGACCGACCTCAAACGGTGTGGCGCGAAGAGCCGTGGTGGAAGGAGGTGTTGTAGCAAAGATTCGCCCACGACGTACCAATCCACCCACGCTGGGGCGATCCCCGTCACACAACGGAGGTACATGGCGATGACCTTGTTCACCACTTTCGGACCGCCATCCGCTTGCGGATGGAAAGCTGTGCTCATGCGCAAGAATCGGGCGCCCGCCATCTTGAAGATGTCTCGCCAACGCGTGCGGTGAACACGGGGTCCCGGTCGCTGACAATGGACAGCGGAAACCCGTGAAGGCGAACGATGCCGTCGAAGAAGGCACGAGCGACGGACGTAGCAGTGTAGGGGTGGCTGAGCGCGATGAAGTGGGCGTACTTGGAGAAGCGATCCACCACCGTGAGGATGACCGACTTGCCCGCAACCTTGGGCAAGCCCTCGATGAAGTCCAGCAAGATATCCGCCCACACTTGGGTGGGGACGTCTAGGGGCTGCAGCAAGCCCGCGGGCTGAACCGCTCGTCTTTTTGCGGCACGTGGTGCAAGAACGCACCAGGTCCTGCACCAACACACGATCACGAGGGATGTAGAAATCTGCACGGAGTCGATGTAGCGTCTTCTGGGTGCCCTCATGGCCAGCTGAGTGAGCCAAGAGGAGCACTTGCTGACGCAAGTCCCCTTGGTCCGGCACGTAGACGCGGGAGCCATGGATCAGAAGGCCGTCAGCCAGGCGCCATGGGGCCGCCAGCTCCCCGCCGAGCTGCGCCAAAGAGCTTCTTTGGGCGCTGCTGCTGCCGTTGCTTGTTGCCGCGGATGGCGCCCGAAGCTCGAAGGATGGTCCCGACATGGGGAGGGCTGCTGCAGCCGCGCCACCGTGACGGCGCTGCCCCCATCTACCAAGTCCCGGCGAGAGAGCGTCGCCCACGACGATGTTCAAGCGGCCCGGACGGTACTTTCACCGAGAAGTCGAAACCAAATAGCTTGTCGATCCATTGATGTCGCGGAATCAGAGACAATCGTTGATCAAGCAAAATTTCAAGTCAGAATGGTCGGTGCAAACCAAAAAGTGGCGCCCCACAAATATGGGCGCCAATGGCGAACGGCTTCGAACCAAGCCGATCAACTCCCGCCGTGGGCCGCCAAAGTTGATGTGATGGGCCGCGAAGGACGGCCGGTAGGCGAGGGCCCGACGCTACGGTGGAGGACGGCGCCGAACCTCGCGCCCGACGCGCCGCAATCGACCACGAAGGGCTTAGTAAAGTCCGCATCCAAGAACAGTCCTCAGGGTCAAAGCGCGCTTGAGCGCCTCGAATTTCGAAGCATCGCTGTCCCACACACAAACGCGTCCCGCCGCAAGAGACGCGTGAGTGGGGCGGCGATGATGCCGAAGTCCTGAATGAATTTCCGGTAGTAGCCCGCGAGGCCGAGGAAACCACGCAGGCCACGGGCAGAGCGCGGCAGGGGCCACGCAGCCACGGCGGCGACCTTGTCAGCGTCCATGGCGACGCTGCCCTCGGAGATCACGTGGCCCAGGTAGGCCACTGACGATGCGCCAAACGAGCACTTGGATCGTTTCAAGTGAAGGTGGTGTACCCGAAGCGCGTGGAGGACGATGTTGACATGTTGCAAGTGCTCGGCCCATGATGGACTATAAATTAATATATCATCAAAAAATACCAGCACAAACCGCCGCAGGTAAGGCCGAAGGACGTCATTCATCAGCGCCTGGAAGGTTGCCGGGGCATTGGAGAGCCCAAATGGCATCACCAGACACTCAAAGTGGCCCTGATGGGTGCGGAAAGCCGTCTTGTCGATGTCCTCCGGGTGCATGCGCACCTGATGATAGCCGGAACGAAGGTCAAGCTTGGTGAAGAAACGAGCCCCATGGAGCTCATCCAGCAACTCGTCAACCACCGGAATTGGGAATTTGTCCTTGGAGGTCTTGGCGTTGAGGGAGCGGTAGTCGATACAGAAGCGCCACGACTTGTCCGCCTTGCGCACCAGCAGGACGGGCGCGGAGAACGGCGAAGTGCTCGGCCGAATGATCCCTTGGGCAAGCATCGCTGCACATTGGCGCTCGAGCTCGTCCTTCTACAGCTGCGGGTATCGGTACGGCCGCACCGCCACTGGGGCCGTCCCGGGCAGCAGGTGGATGCGGTGGTCGTAGGGGCGCGCCGGAGGGAGCCCAGTAGGCTCGTCGAAGATGTCACCGTGCTGCGCCAACAGGCGATCCAGGAGAGGTAGCCGCGGGTCAGTCGTGACCGCGGTCACCGGCTGCTGTGGGGAGGGCGTCTGAGGGCCGGGCACGCCCTGCCAGGTGACGCGGCGGCCCTCCCTCCAGAACGCCATGGTAAGGGCGTCGCAGTCCCACAACACGGGGCCCAATGTGCGAATGAAGTCGAAGCCGATGATGAAGTCGAAGGCGCCCAGGTTGAGGC